TTCATGTTCCCTTTTTTCCTGTCCATCAACAGCCCAAATTAAATTTTCTCTGTTGTAATATCTTGTGATTTTTGTTTTCATGATTAATATGTCTCCAAATCTTCCTCCAAGGAATTCACAGTCACTAATTATAAGGTATCTGTACTTTGGGAAAATGTCAACATTTAGATTTTTCAAGGATTACTAGACATTGGGTCTCAATAGCAATTTTGCAAATTGAAGCACAGACAGAAAAAGATTTAAAGGGAGTAGGCTGAGAACAGAGCCTGAATGACATGAACTAAGAAATCTGGCATAATTGTAACTATAGTCCCAGAAGAAGAAAAGAGAGGGAATGAAGCAGGAAAAAAAATTCAGAGGCAGAAAAAATATTGACTATTCTTTTTCCAAATTTGATAAAAGAAAGAAAGGAGGAAAAAAGCAGAGAAAGAAAGAAAATAAGTTAAACCCACCAACTCAGAGATCCAGGGAACTAAGTAAACCCCAAGCAGCATAAATGCAAAGAGAAAAAATACCTAAAAAAAGTGTAACTGTTGATAACTGTATAACTACTATTATCAGTATGGCTGCTGATAAACAAAGATAAAGAAATAAAATCTTAAAAGCAACCAGAGAAAAACACATGATATAGGAAAATAATGACAAGAATTACAATTAGCTTCTCAGTGGACACATTGGAGGCCAAAAAATAACAAAGTGACTTTTTTTGGTTTTGTTTTTGGTAATACTGGAGATGGAACTGGGGCCTTTTTGCACATGAGACTAGCTCTCTATCAGTGAGCTACATCCTCAGTCCTGAGAAGTTTTAAAGGACTGAAAGAAAGCCCTTCAATGACTTTTCATTGTCCTTAGGATAAACATTAAGGTTCTTGACTTCCATAACCTATTGCTTACTATTCTAATCATCTTCTTCTCCAGCAAATAGTGTTGTTTAGTGCCTTTTATTAAGTAGAAAATCTTTCTTTTTGCCTAGTTAATTGTCTCACTAGCTTGATCACAATTTGTTCTCTTGTGTCTTAATGTCCTCCTTATATACATATATTGTTATTTATTGTTATAATAATGTCTACTTAAATCTCAATTTCTGACACTGGCGTGAGCACTTATAAGGTGCTTTAAGTGTTCTTTAGATATCCAGTACCTACTGTAGTCTCTACTACTGAGTGAACCCTTAACACATTTTTATTATATTAATTCCCATAAAAGCATAACAATCTAAAAATTAAATTTAGTACCAGAAGTCTGTAATTTCTATACCTTATAGTCCAGCCTTGCTAATTGGTATGTAGGACTTTTTTTGTCCTAAATACTTATGTCTGACAGTTATTCTCTCCAATTAGTTTTGACTATAAGCCCTCAATAATTTCCTGGGAAAGGTCTTGAGACATGAAGGTTCACTTTTCACTTCCTTGTTTTCTGTGATACTTTCTTTTGGGATCAATGAAGGAAGCTGTCTGCATGTCTTTATCTTAGACATTTGCTACCTACATCCAGTCCATAGGTCATCAATTTTTTTTTTTTTTTTGTGTGTGGTACTGGAGATTGAACCCAAACATCCTCTACTACTGAGTTGTATTTTCAGTCACTTTTTGATTTTGAGACAGGGTCTCACACAGTTGCCCAGGCTGGCTTTGAATATATGATCTTCTTGCCTTGGCCTCCTGAATCACTGGGGTCATAGGCATGTACCATCACACCTCGGTAGGTCATTTAGTTTTTTTTTTTTTTTTTTTAAAAAGAGGGAGAGGGATAGGGAGAGGGAGAGAGAGAGAAATTTTTTTAAATATTTATTTTTTAGTCTTCGGCAGACACAACATCTTTGTTTGTATGTGGTGCTGAGGATCGAACCCTGGCCGCACGCATGCCAGGCGAGCGCGCTACCGCTTGAGCCACATCCCCAGCCCAGGTCATTGAGTTTTGACCCAAGTTTGTTGTTGGTTAATTCTAGTTAGTCTCTGGTCCACTCAGCACTAATTAACAAGGATGATTCTTAAGCCACTTGCCTGTTTGGAAGCTGGGAAGATAAGAGTGTGTGAAACTAAGTCTCTTAGACAACTTCTATCCCATAAGAACACGACTTTATTTCTTCTAAGTGTAATTCAAATAAGACTTTCTATCTATCTTTTTAGTCTATGCTTCTCTCTTTCACTGTTTCCTTTTCTTCAACTCCTCTTGCGCATATATATATATATATATATATATATATATATATATATATATATGGTGTGTGTGTGTGTGTGTATGTGTGCTTGCGCGTGTGTGCACATGCACATCTGTCTTTTTGTTTTTGGCAGTACAGGGAATTGAGGGTCTAGCACATGCTAGGCAAGTGCTGAATCACTGAACTACACCCCCAGTTCTTTTCTTTTTTGGTTCTGGAGATTGAACCCAGAGGTGCTTTACCACTGAGCTACATTCCCAGCCCTCTTTTTAAATTTTGTGACAGGGTCTCGCTAAGTTGCTGAGGCTGGCTTTGAACTTATGATCCTCCTAACTCACCCTCCCAAGCCACTGGGATTACAGTTGTGTACCACTGTGCCCAGCCTCTAGTGTTTTTTAAAACAAAATATTTTATTTTGATAGGATCTCACCAAGTCCTGGTGACTGGCTCATTTGGAGCTGCTTTTTTTTTTTTTTTCTTTTATGGTGCTGAGGATCAAAACCACACCCTTGTGCAAGCTAGGCAAACACTCTACACTGAGACTCCACCCCATAGCCCCAAACATCTTTTATTGCTTAAATAGATGGCATATAATAGCCAACAGATCTGGATCAAAATCTTGTAAAGGGTCTACTTAGATCATTGGCTCCTTCAAAATACAGATTCTCTTCCAAAATAAAACCTAAATTTATGATTTACACATTTTTTTCTGGGTTAATTAGTGTGAAGTCAAGTATTGTATTTTATTTCTTGTTTTTTTGTATTCATACCTTCTGCTTCCATCACTTGGTGAATCTGTAACTAGAATTGAAATTGACTCACGTTCTGCTATGTTCACTATTTTGGAGAAGTAGTTTTAACTTCTGGACAATGGTTTCTTCAAAATTGATAATAGTATCTCAACCCATAAACTTCATAAAGTGTATCAAGAAAACCATGTGTTAATTTGGGCTGCCATAACAAAATATCACAGGCTAGATGGCTTCAATGATAGGAATTTTATTTTCTCACAGTTAAGGAGGCTTGAAAGTCCAAGATCATGGTTGATTTTGGGTGAGGGCTTTCTTCCAGGCTTCAGAAGTCTGTTTTCTCACATGGTGAAGAACATGTCTGGTTCTTTATTTTTTTATTTTTAAAGACAGAAGTCTCTAATCCTATATGATTAGGTTCTCATCCTTATGACCTTATTTAACCTTACTGGGTTTTTTTTGTACTAGAGATGGAACCCAGAGGCGCTTAATCACTGAGCCACAACGCTAGACCCCTGGCTTCCCCCTTTTTTTTTTTTATACCAGGGATTGAACTCAAGAGCATTTGGCTACTGAGCCACATCTTCAGCCCTATTTTGTATTTTTATTTAGAGACAGGTCTGGTTGAGTTGCTTAGGGCCTGGCTAAGTTGCTGAGGCTGGCTTTGAACTCCCTATCTTCCTGCTTCAGCCTACTGAGCCACTGAAATTACAGGCCAATGCCATTATGCCCTGCCCTAACCTTACATATTTTCTAAAGGTCTATAGCCAAATATAGTTTATCTCCAAATACAGTCATATTGGGGGTTAGGGCTTCAGCATATGAATTTTGCAGGGATACAATTCAGTCCATGGTAGATATGATAACCCTCAACTTCAAACCCTTAAATCCAAAATTCACAGGCATTATTCAATTTGGACACTAATGATGGAATGTAGACAGACAGTAGTTGCTTTCCATTTTTATAGTCTACTTGTCTCAGCAAATTTGAGACTAGGTAGGGGCCATAGTTAATCTGTGCTTTTCCTTGTGATCCTACATAAGGCAAGTTAACCACATATATCCATTAGCACGCAAGTGAATAGTTTTAAACACAGAAAACTGTGAACTTTTGAGACTTACAGTCAGGTCCAAGATCAAAAAGAAAAGAAAATATATTAATGCCTTCAACAAAAATATTGACCACGTGTCATGAATTGAGCACTGGGGAAAAGTGAACTGACATTGTTCCTGACTTAATGGAGTTTACAATCTAGGAAGGTCTAAAGTTCAGATGGGGCAATACCTGTTCCTAGAAAGGTTCTTAACCCTGCAGGCTTCCCTGAACAGCGACACCTAAACTAAATCACAAAGATCTTTAGGAAGGAATGAGGCAGGTTTTTTTTTTTTTTTGGTGGTAGTGGTGATGGGACTGTAGTGGAGTGTGCGTGTGTCCATGGGGGGCGGGGGCAATTTACTGATGACCCAGCAGGTGGCTGGAGCCAGGCTGTTAAGAATGGGCAGATCACGATCCGAGGGTAACAGTCCTTTTAACGGGGCTGTTAAGCTGAGAGTGGAAAACACGCACAAGGGCGCTTTGAGGACCCTTAGACTCAGTTTATTTTAGTTGTGGCTCAAATTAAGCATAAGTCTTACATTTTTCGCCCCCTCTAGTTTTCCATTTCCAGGAGTTTGTTTTTCTTTGTCGCTCCCTCCCGCTACGAATCTTCAGCTGGGAGGATCCTGTTCAGGTGCACAAATCAGGAGGTAACCACCAAGGCAGTTAGGGCTGAACTCCGGACCGGACGCAGTCGGGTTTTGCTGTGGAGTTTCTGCAGCAGCGCTAAGCAGGAGCATTAAGGTCAGAGCCAGTGGGGTCGGGGAGGCAAACCGCTAGACACCACCAGGCCCAGGACTCCTCAACCTCTGTCTTTACCATAGCGCCGCCTCAGCTCCCTCAACATCCAGCACAGCACTTGATTGACAGGTAGGCTCGCCCAATCCCGGAGCGGCGCAGACCGCTGTCGCGTCGGGGACGGGGAAAGGGTGTACTGAGCGTATCAGATTGGGCCGGGAAATGGTTTCCTGCCTGCGCGGCCCCGCCCTCTCGCCGCGCGGCCCGCCCCTCTCCAGAGAGCTACGCGGCGGCGGAGCGCAGGCCTCGTGCCGTAACGGCCATCCCGGCGGCCGCGGCGGTGTCCCTGTGCCCTCCTCAAGTGACTGGAGCCGGCTGGGCTCGGCAGAGGGAAGGTGAGAGGGCCTTGCGGCGAGCACACACAGTCTCTTCCGTCCCCCGTCGGTCCACACAGCCTGTTCTCGCTGCGTCGCTTCCTCTTCCCCGGCAGAGTTAGCCCCGGGGGCGCCGTCTGCCGGCGCGGAGCGGAGCCGGAGGGGGCGGGGAGGCCGCTCGGCGGAGGCTGGGCGTCTGCGCCGCGGTTCGGGGCGACCCCGCGGCCTCCCTCCTGCTCCCGGAACGCCGCCCCTGCGAGGCTGGAAGGTCGAGCGCGCGGTGCGCTGCCTCGGTGTTCCTCCTGCAAAAGTCTGGCTGCCAGCTGTGGCGTAACCCGAGGCCGGGAAGGTAGGGACGCGGTGGGGAAGCAAGGGCGCTCTCACCTCCAGCCCCGAGCCGGGCAGCCAGCGGTGCCCCGAGCGCGGTGGACGTCCGCGGGGCGCGCCCGCCGCCCCTCCCCCTCGCGTCCCCGGCCGTTATCCCTGTTCTGGTGGAAATCTGGGTGTTAACTTTCACGGGGAGGACCTGCTTTAGCTTTGTACGCGAGTTGCTTGGGCTTTGAGCTTTTGACATGAGTTGTGGCATGTCCGGTTTAAAAAAAACATTTTTTTTTTTTTCGATAGGTTGGTTTTGTGCCCTCTTATATGTGTTTTCATACACGTTAATTCGCCGTTTGAAGCTGGGGAGGCTGGGTTTTGTTTAAAACTGAGAACCATAAGGTAGGCGCTCCGTTAATGTCGAACTCGTGAACTGAAATCATCTGAAAATAATTCTACCCATTACATTAGATAAGAATCCTTAAGAGTTAGGAAAGAATGAGGTGAGGTTCAGAGAACTAACCTCATGATGGGAGGGGAGCAATGAAGCCCAATGTCTGGCTAAAAAGAGGGAGTGTTGCAAGAGGTCTTTATTTTTAAAAAATTTTTACTTTGATAACTTTATGACAAACCAACCATAACGATTTCTTAAAAACCTGGAAATCATTGTATCTAAAGTCTCAGCTTTCAGTGAGGTCACAAAGTAAGTGGGGAAATAACCCAAGAAGAAAGTTTTTTGGTAATTGTTAATAATGCTCAGTTCACATCCTGATAGTAACTCAACAATGCGTTGGTTGATTAATACTACATTCATTTCATTTGTGGTGAAATTGATTTTCTTTGGGAAAATTGGGATCTGGAGAATTTAGCTTAGTATCAATAAACATAGTTTGCTGAGTATTAAAGTCTGTTCTGCCTGTTTTCTCATATTAAATTTTAAAATATTTGCCTTATTTTTCTAAGTATTTTCAGGTTCCTGTAAATAAAACTGGAAATATACTGTCATGTTTTGGTACTTTATGCTTTCTGTTTTTCTTTTCTTTTTTTTTTTTTTTAATACAATTGAGAGCTTTTTTATTTTTTATTTTTAGTTGTCAATGGACCTTCTTATTTATTTATATGTGGTGCTGAGAATCGAACTCGGTGCCTCACACATGCTAGGCTAGTGCTCTGCCACTGAGCCACAACCTCAGCCCTGAGAGCTTTCTTTCCAAAGTTTAGGAAGATTTGATGTGATTATTTTTGTAAACAGATCTCTTGTGAGAAAAACTTAATAAATTTAGTTACCTTGATAATATGGAAACATGCCAAAATGTTCTTCAGCAACATTAGAAAATTAAATGATTATTTAGTTGATAAGTAAAATTGAAGAGAATTCTTGAAATAATTGAACATTGAAAAATTTTTTCTTAAGTGCTTCGTGCTGTTTTAGGAAGACAACTGACAGGCTGAATATGGCATTTAAAGATAAATTAAGGCAGCAATTGGTTCTGAAAGATCCTTACTTTAACCTATATCAAAGTTAGATACAGTTTATCTCCAAATACTGACTTAGACCTTTTTTCCTTTCAAAACATTCCATATGCTGATTGTTTTAGTGACATTGTATAACAGTATGCTTTTAGTTATCCAGACACACACCTTGGTTTCATCTCTAGCCACATAACTTAATATTCACTTTGCTTTTTCTTCTTCATTTTCTTTATAATATATGTTTGGGTGGGATATGTAGGTTAATGGTAGAACACCTAGACAGCAAGTACAAGACTTAGTCCCCAGCACTGCAAATTTTAAAAAGAAAGATATACTTTTCTTCAACAAAATTTTTGCCCTATTTTAATTTTTGTCTCTGAATTGCGCACCAACTTTAACTGGATTTTCTGTCTGGCTTTTCTCAACTATGTCATGACTGCTGCTAGATCTTAAAAAACAATGCTTTGAACACATCCCTCACTGTTAAGAAACCAGTGATATCTTTCTATTATCTACAGAGCACAGTTCAGAATTCATAGCCTTCTAACAATCTGTTCAAGACCTACTTTTCTAATGCCAGTACTATTTCTCTGTAGGAACTGTCCATTCTAACTAAAGTAATCATTCTGATTTGCTCTTTGTATTTCTCATATCTTTTGAAACTTTGAATATTGATGCATAGACTGCCTATTCTTTAAAAATAAAGATTTCCCCTTAAATTACCCAGGTTGCAAATGAAATAAAATTTTGTTGAAGTTACATTTTTGATATTTCAGTATAGCCTTCCAAGTGTTTCCTGTGATGTTGCTTTTCTTTGAACTCAAAATCCTTTTTTTAAATCATGTTTTTATGTCTATTTGTATGATAGCATTATAGAACATTATTTCAGGAATGTTAGAAACCAACTTTTTGTTTTATAGATAGGGAAATTGAAATCCATATAGAATAACTGCACTAAAATTCATACATCTTGCTATGAGTATAAACTTAATCTCTTTATTCAAGTTTGGTGTATTTATAAAACTGTACTACTACTCATCTTTTGTAATGTTGTTTTGTATTGTTTACTTCACATTATTTTGTGTTGTAGGGCAGGGGAACCTTCATGACTTGCATTGTGAATTCATTATAAATTATTACAACCAATGTTTTCAAATCTACATACAACTTTTTCTTTATTATTTATATATGTGTATATATACATATATATTTTTGGGGGGGTTACTAGAGATTGAACTTGGTGGTCTTTACCGCTGAGCTACATCCCCATCCCTTTTTATTTTTAAGACAAGGTCTCAATAAGTTACTTAGGGCTTTGCATTCCTGAGGCTAGCCTTGAACTTGTGATCCTCCTGTCTTAGCCTCCTGAGTCACTGGGATTACTGGTGAGGGCCAATGCACTTGGCTATATCTGTATTACAGTCTTGTTATCTGTGTTAAGAGCATTAGAGCATCAGCAAAAATAATACCGTCATCTCTGTAGTTGAGTCCTGTGATCCACTAAAAAGGGGATGAAATCTCTTTTTTTTTTTTGCGGTGCTGGAGATTGAACCCAGGGCCTTGTGCATGCGAGTGAGGCAAGTGTTTTACCAGCTGAGCTATGCCCCAGCCCTGAAATTTAGTTTATTTATTTGAATTTCTTGGTAAAGAGAATGAGTCGGGGTCCTCAAAGGTAATACAGAAGGATTGGAATATTGCAGGTTTGGAGAAAACGTGGAGGGTTTATCACACAATTAAAAATGATCTAGGTAGAGCTAGGTAGAGCTAGGTAGTACTAGCATTAGAAAAGCACTCTTCACACTTTGCTACTTTTTGTCATCTTGTTCATCTGTCAGGGACCATAAGTACACCTGTTGGTTGAGCAAAACATTCTAAAAGTCATGTTCCATTTTGGGGAGTTAGCTTTTATGTATTTTTTCCTCATATTTCCCCCTCTCTTAACTTTAGTTTCTGTTAATAGAGGCAGTGAGAGTTGTCTTGGTATTTTGCTTACATCTAAGTAACAAGAGTTGAATGGTGTAAAACCGCATAGAAAACTACTGGGCAAAATCTCTTAGGAGTGAATGTTTCCTCTTTTGGTCTGAGACAAGCTGTTTTTCACTTAGTTTTTGGTTGTTAATAATGATTAAAAAATTTTTTTTTAGTTGTCAGTGGACCTTTATTTAATTAATTAATTTATTTATATGTGATGCTGAGGAATTGAACCCAGGGCCTCACACATGCCAGTGCTCTACTACTGAGCCATAACTCCAACCCTTAATGATTTGTTTTTGTTTAAATAAATTACCACCTAAAATAAACAGTTGAAATACCAATTCTCTTGTTCATTTTTTCTAAGTTATACTTAACGGATTGGCAAACTGGATTTGAGTATGATATGAAGGATTTCTGCTTTTATTTAGAAAGACCAATTGAGTAAAGCAAACAGAATATATGGAAATTTTTCAAAGAACTGTGCTTTTCAAGAACATTTTTTAAAAAAGAGTCAGCCTTTTCTTCCTAAGATTTCAGCAAACATTCCCCAAATCAATATGCTCTGCACTTTTTAAGTATTTCAACTGTAATGCAAAGACATTAGTTTACTAGGATATTGGAAAATATTCCTTGAAAATGGTCGATCAGCTTGGTCTAGTGGCACAAGCCTGTGATCCTAGTGACATGGGCTACCAAGATGGGAAGATGGAAAATTCCAGGCCAGCCTGCACAATGTAGTGAGACATAGTTCAAAATACAAAATTTTAAAAAGGACTGGGGGTGTACACGCTCAATCCTGTGAGGAGAAAACATTTAAAAAAATAATAATAAGGCTTGATCACTTCCAGGTACTACTGTTTTGTTTTTTGTTTTTTTTGGCTGTGCTAGGTATCAAACTCAGGGTCTTATGTATGCTAGACAAGTTCTCTGTCATAGAATTACATCCCAGTTCTGTTATTGAATAAGGGAAAAAAATGGAAACATTTAGACTATTTCTTATACAACCCACCCCCATCCCAATAACTTGACTTGCTGCCCTATAAATAAATTACAACATATTCATCCAACAGAATACTATCATCAGTGAAAAAGAACTGCACCCAACATCATGGCTGAAGGTCATAAACACCATGCTGAGCTTTCTAGTCAGTTACTTTTGCTTTCTGTGTTTGTTTTCATTTCCTTTCCATGTCCTTAGGGAAAGCCCTATAAGGCCTCTCATGATACAGCTTTTGCTGATTTCTAGGTTGTTTCTC